AACGGTCCAGGCCTGTTCCGCTTGTGCTCGCGAGCAGACTGTTGATTCGCTCGCTCTGAATGGTCTACTCGGGTTTCCATTTCGTCTTGAGCTGGTTTTGGCAAACCATCTTTCTAGGAAATGGTTCCTTTTGTTCAAGTTTTCACGTACATCCCATAAAGTTGTTTATTATTATTTTAAAATCTCTGCAAAAATCTGATAATTACGTCTTCTTTTTATTCTTATACTAGATATACCCTCTTTCCAGATCAGTGTTGCAGAGTTTGGCTATTTTATTTTTATTGTTCGCAAAGAAACAGCTTTTGGTTTTATCATTCCTCTTAATCATGTTTATTAAAATTTTTTCTGGTGCCATTTTATTTCTTGTCTTCTAATTTCTTTGGATTGACCCAGCTGTTTTTGTAGTTTCTTGAGTGGGATGCTCAGCTCTCCTTTTATCATTTTCTAATGCAGACACCAGAGTCCCTGGGCAGTACACATGATTACGTGCTATTCCACTAACCCGCAGCTTGGCTGTCTCAACTCACCCCGCATGTGCCTCGGAAGTCAGGCCTGGTGATCTGCTTTGGAAAGGCCACAGTTTGGCGAGCTCTACAGAGCGTGCAGTTCTACTCGGCATCCATGGGGCAGCCAAGTCGGACTGATTGGCAAATAAGAAGGGAGGCATTCCTTTCTACGGCATGCGTTTCCCTCTGTTGCCTTACGCTCGTCATCACGTTTTGACATGTAGCTTTAATACAGATACAATAACACACCCACTCCGCGCTCATCCACATGGCGAGGTCCCATTGACCAGGTCATTATGCAAAGTAGGCATGATTTGACAATGCAAGACGACTGCATTTTTCTATAAATGCCAAATCACATCATTACCTAACTGGTAAACCACTATGAAACACGAATCAGCTGAGTTGATACGTCACCAATCACCACAGTCCTCATTGGTCTTGTAACTCGGAGTTCATTACCGCCAGAAGCACGCCGCTATTGTGCAAAATAAAACCCTTGGCTAGCAGATGGAAAAGCACACCGTTTTATCGTGAGTGAGGTGAGGCGGACAGGAGGGAGCATCGTTCTAGGTTCAACAACTCATACACAGGTGGTTCCCGCTCCTCCACGTGTCCCCGCTTCGCACTGGTGCTGTGTGATTGGTCAGTCCACACTTGAAGGATGACTCAAGGTCATAAACACCTGTGTTTATCCAGCAGTAACCTGGTGTCTTTTTAAAACAATCACTTTATTGGG